CGTAGGGAGTTGTATGATTATGTTACCGCTGTACAGGGAGGACATGAACAGGTAAATCAGGGCCTTCTGCGCTGGAGACTTTCATGTTAAATGTTTATGGGTTTGAAGGAATGTTTTGAGCTTTAAAAACAGCCACTGTGAGAGAAGTAAAGATGGGCTTACAGAATATACTGAAAAGGGAGGTAGAGGGGAGAAAGAAGACGTATTTGAAGCTCTCGGCAAAAAGAGTAGGAAGACGACTGAACAGAGGAGGATAGACCGTATTATGGACTGCCTTGATGTACCACATGTAGAAGGGTAAAAGCGAGGCAAGAGATGCTTACTAATGCAGGTTCAGAGAGGACAAGGAACCAGGGAACTAGAAAAGACTTGTCTCAGGTGAAAGGAGAAGAGATGTGAAGACAGAAAGAATTTTTTTAAGAGTAGCTATTATTGAGACCTGAAAAGAGATGGAGGACGAGAGACTGTAGGAAGACATACTAACTTCTGGTGAATTGCTTCTGGTAAATTACAAAGATGGGAAGGAAGAGTTAGAGAGAGATTATATATGGGGAAGAACACCATTGATGGAGATGGAATCATACAGGTGGAGTGGGTAGAAAGCAAGTCATTTCTTGAGCTGACATACATAGAGCTTAAGGAGCGGGATGGACAGAATAGAGTGGGCAGAAAAATGATCCTTTTCTTTAGCGAAAGAAAGACAGAAAGCAGGCCGAGGAGGGAAAAGAAAAGCTCAGGCGGTGCTGAGTGAATAGGATAAGAGGTGGTTGTGCAGAAAAAAAAGAGAGGTAGTGCTGCAGAGATATGATCGGCAGGCTGGATGGAATGAGAGAGCAGAGCAAAAACACTGAGGCTGTAGCTGTAGGTGAAAAGGAATTAGATGGAAATAGAGGGAAGGAATGGGGGGGAGAGAGATCGACTTAACCTACAAAAACGAATGAGAGATGTGTCATGGGGGAAGCAATAATGTGCTGGGATTATGGAGATTCTGCACCCCTAGAAAGTCGCTGGTAAAGTTACAGTCTTACCTCTGTGGACATCTCTGTAAAGCGATAAAAGAGTTTAACTCAGAATAAATTTGAGGTATTCATGCAAACAGCCTCATTTCAACTCATCTGCCTGTGAAATGAACAAAAAAAGAGTTTCTTATCAGTTCATCCCTCAAGAAAATACACAGTCTTTGTAATGTATGAAAAAGGGGTCAAATCCCTGGTCGATAAACGCCGAAGTTTGGAGTTTTGGCAGCATTTGAAAACTTGTAAAACTGTTTTTCTCATCAGAGAACCCATCAATAATGTTTTCAGTTTAAAGCATGGTTAGGCTAGCATACTGCATACTGCACAATATATACTGTCTAATATTTATTAGTATACAATTATGCACATCTGTTGGTATACGCATGATATGTACAGTATACATACTACACAATTTTTATATATTATATATTTAATAAGTATTTTAAAATAACTTGTTTTATAAAAAAATAATAATTAAATTACATTTAAAAATGAAATGAGATTTAGAAAAAGAACTATGTAATATTGTTTAAAAGGGCTTGGTAAGATTATTTGGTAACACTTTAGTATAGGGACAATTCTCACTATTAACTAGTTGCTTATTAGCATGGCTATTATTAACATATTGGCTGTTTATTAGTACGTATAAAGCACATATTCTGTATGACCATATTCTACATACCTAATCCTACCCAATACCTAAACTTAACAACTACCTTACTAACTATTAATAAGCAGCAAATTGGGAGTTTATTAAGGAAAAAGGCATAATTAATGGTTTGTTAATAGCGGGAATTGGACCCTAAAATAAAGTGTGACTGATTATTTTTAATGTTTTGAAATAAGTCTCTCAACAAGGCAGTGAAATGTACAGTAAAAACTGTAAAATATTATTGCAAATTAAAATAACTGTTTTCTGATTTAAAATGACTGATTATCTACTAAACTAATAATGGTTTGAAATGTATTTGAAATAGAAATCGTTTGTAGCATTATGAATATCTTTACTGTCTTTTTTGATCAATTTAATGCATCCTTGCTGAATAAAAACAAAATCATACTAACCCCAAACCTTTGAACGGTCATGTTCATACTGCAGAAATGATAGACTAATGTGGTTGGATGCTATTCTGAACTGTTTTCATAAGGGTTTCTTGCTCTCTTATCATTTTGTCATGTCTACAAGCCCAAAGACGACTCGGAGGCCAATGGCTCAGATCCTTCTTCTCTATCGTCTCCTGTGTCAGGGGGTGGCCACCAGGGGGAGCCTCCCAGTAGAGAGACCACAGACACAGAAGCTGCAGGTAACACCCGGAATAACCTTGCAGCTTTGCTGTCTTCCTGCCAACATGGACCCATAATGGGATTCAAAGAGATGTGACTTTAAATAAGGCTTATATGTTGCTGTAAACTTGTGATGCTTTTAGTTGAGCTCATGTTTATTGTACACTCTAAAAAATGCTGGGTTATATTTAACCCCGCATTTTTTAGATTGTAGCATTTAATGTTGTGTAGGTGAAGATTTGGATCATGAGCAGGACACCGTACTGCAGCTGCAGCAGGTAATCGAACAGCTGAGGAACGTCTTCCCATCTGAGCCAGGTCCATGAGGAACCTGAAGCAAAACTCAGAGGCCTAAAATTGTGCAGGTTTGCTTATAGTTTCATTATTTTGGAATTATATAAGCTTACATATAAGGAGTATTTCACCTTGTGTCATTTCTATCGTGAAACACGATAGAAGTTTAGCAGAATCTGTAAGTGAATGGGGATTTATACTACTATAAAAAGCACTAGAATTGTACTGCAAACATGGCCCGTATGACTCATGCACTGTATTAAAAGTCTTCTGAAGCTGTATGATATGATTTGAGTGAAAACCAGAAAACCAAAAGTTGCTAAATTCTCAATTTAATTAATTTCTCTTTCAAACACATCTCCTTTGGCTACAATACACTTAGGAACCAATGATGTTGGACCTAATTAATTTCAAATCTTGCATGAAGCATTTGAAAGCTAAATCAGTAAGACATTCAGCAAAAACAACTACCAGTCTGTTCCTGGCAGTCTTCAGAAGCAAAGAAAGTCATACAGGTTTATTTTTGGCTGAACCATTTCCTTAAAATATGTTTTATTTTAGTACGCGATGCAGATGCAGTACTTAAAACTCAACTAAAACTACCTGCTATCCAGTGTGTTAAAGGGAACTACATTTGAAAACTTTTTTGATCTTTGCATTTGATGTTTCAGCTTTCTATTGATCTGTCTAGATGATAACAGCCTTCTTAAATTTTTCAGGCGTCGTATTGCTCATCTTATTGTGGGCAGGGTCTTGAGAATGCAGGGCTGGCGAATCCATGGACAGACGAGGCGGCAGCGAGAAGAGTTTCAAGACATCCTTCTCAGCCTGCGGCCATTTGCCAATCCCAAAGAGCTGTGGGATATCTGAGTGCTAACTAAACAAACTAAGGTTTACATGGTGCCAAAGGCCTGCACTGATCCGAACACTGTGCTAACCCGTGTCGTAATGCAAAGTGTGTGGCTTCATCAGTACAGCACAAGAACCACAAACAGGACTTACACCAGGGATCCTCAAATCTGGCCCACGAGATCCACTTTTCCTGCAGAGTTTAGCTCTAACCCTAATCAAACACACCTAAGCATACTAATCAATTTCTTCAGGTTCATTAGAAAATCACAGGTAGGTGAGTTTGATCAGGGTTGGAGCTAAACACCGCAGCGCAGTGGCCTTCCAGGGCAAGATTTGAGGAACCCTGACTTACACCATGCAAAAGTGGGATCTCACCTTGGGTATCCCTTTGCCAGCAACCTCTCTGTGTGTACGGTTTTTTTTTTTCATTTTGAAAATGGTTTACTATTTTCTGTGACTCACTCATGCACATAAATACAAATATACACATATACCGATGGTAAGTCATGCTTGGCAATGCGTGGCCCTTGTTCTGTGAAGCAGAAAAGAGCAGATTCCCCTGAACTGTGAACAAGCTTATTTACACTGTAAGGACGACACGTCTTCATTTATTTATATGCCAAAGTGCCCATGAGCATTATGCCCCTGCCCTGATATTCTTTCTTTCTTTCAAATAATAAATGAAAGAGAAAATACACAGACACACACTGCAAAAATCATTTTCTTGATCAGTATTTTTGCCTTGTTTTAATCACAAATATATAAACATCTTTCAAACAACATTCAAAAGTTTGGGCCAGGAAGATATTTTTTTCTTTTGGAATTTCTGTTCATCAAATAATCAACTAATTATTAAACAGCACCAATGTTTAATAATTATTATTAAACAGAACTGATAATAAGAAACGTGTCTTGAACACTATAAATATGCATATTAGAATGATTTCTGAAGGATCATGTGACAATGAAGACTGGAGTAATAGCTGCTGAAAATTCAGTGTTGTCAACACAGGAATAAATACATTTTTAAATAAACAGTTATGTTAGTTTGTAATAATATTTTACAGTTACTGTTTTTTAAATAAATTCAGCCATGGTGAGGATAAGAGACTTCTTTAAAAAAAACATAGAAAACATCTTACCAACCCCAAACTCTTCAAAGCGAGAGTGTATTATGAGAGAGTATTATGTAACAGAGAACAGCTTATTTTTCCTAATTAAACTGGCAAAAAAATGATTTCTTTATTTAAAAATATGCCTGTTTTGTTTTTAAAAACTGAGGTGAGTTTAAATTATTTTCTGTGGTAACAGACATTATGCAATGAATGTTGACAATTGAGCACAACTTTTATTGAACCCAAACCATTTTTAACTAAATGTAGTGAGATTTATGCTTAAATCAAGGAGGGAAAAACTTCATTAAAAATGTATTGACTGAGATCACATCTAATCCTAAAATTGCTTCTCAGATAAATGTATCTTGTTTTTAAGGATGTTTAGGTATTTCTTTTGGATAACATGACAAAACCTTGATTAATAAATAGATTATTTTTGCAGTGTAGCCACTCGTACAGAAAGGATCTATTGAGGAGATGAGCATATTTCTCAGCTGTTGGTTTTCCGGTCACAATGGGAAAGGTCTTTCAGGAATGAAGATTTGTAGTGTTGTTTTGTTGTCAGAGCACTCGCCGTTAAATTACAGCTGTCCAGCGTGGCATGAACAAGAAAGTAGATACCCAAGGAGACGAGTCGATGCCAGATTCGGCCCTTTTCACTTTGGCTTGGGAAGGTCTTTTACACTCATTTTAAACCCAGCATAGCTCTTATTATGCCTTAAGACTTCAAAGCTCCCACTTATTTTTTTTTTCTTCTAAAGAATACCAGCCCTACATCTCACTGTCTTATTGTCGTCTTCCTGATGTAAGTATTTTGTTTACCAAATGCTGTTCTCCAGATCTCAGCATTTCCAAAATCTAAGGAAGAAAATGAAAGTGAGTGTGTGGAAGGATTATTTTACATTATGCCGAGGGAGGAGGACGGCAAATGGATCACGCTCTTTGTAAACAGAGAAAAAAGGCTTTTTTTGTGGAGTGATTTACTGTGGGGTGTCAGATTTATATGAGCAGAGAAGATGCTGGGGGTGTAGTGACTAGAAAAGAGAAAAAGATAGTGAGCGGGAAGAGATACGGCGTGAAGGAAAGACTGCAAATGGGAAAGAGAACAGTGTGTAAATATTCACGGTGATGGGTTGTGGCACTGCAGCCCCTGCAAACAGGAATGAGATTATTGCAGCTGAGAGAGCAAGAGATGTTCTCCATTTGTTTTGGCAAGCATGTTGGAAGTATAGCGATTCCTCGCTCCCCCCTTCTCCATAAAAACACAAAGTGACCCCTGTTGCACTGTAGGTTTTTTGCTTGAATCCCACTGTGGCATCGCCGGCTTTCTTTCGCACGCATTGTGATCTCATTTTACATCACAGTGGTGAGCTGTCTGTTTGTTTTGATGCGGTTGCTAAGGAACGGTCCCCAAGGACACGGCGCTGCAGGTTGGTCTTTAGAAAGGTGGGGTGACTTCATAATGGAGGAGATACAAATAAACATATGGAGGAAGAGAGAGAGGGGAACTCGGGTCCCCTCCGCCCCATATGCCTGCCTTTGTTTAACTTGCATGGCTCCTCATTAAGATCAACATCTGGTGTTCTATCCACAGCGACACCCATTTATCATTCCAGTGCTTCTTCGGGACAAAAGCACCTCACACATACAAACGCTCACATTGAAGTATGCGCATTGCGATTCGGTTTCTTTCTCCAGCTCCCTCTCTATTCCATGCCAAACAGTCTCAACTAATTCAGGGCTGTGAATGTGTGGATTGTCTGAAGTCATTTCAACACTTTTTTCCCAGTACAATATCCAAACATCCTTGAAACAAGATACATTTAGTAAATTTAATATTATGACTTGTTTTCAGAGATAGACCTATACTTTACAATTAAGTTCATTTTTTTACCCAATCTTATCTGAAAGCATATTTGACATCTTAAGTAAAATGGCTACAATGTGAAGAAATTTGAAAAAATGATTCAATATATTATCTGAAAAGAAGTAATAAAATCATACAAAATTGTTTTTCAAATAAATGAATCATGTTTTAAGTATATTTAGATATTTTTAATAGAAAGCAAGACAAAATGCTGATTAAGAAAATGACTTTTAAGCCTGTAGAAAGGGAGATGATTTATTAAACATTTTTGCAAATTATGATATGTAGAGCTTCAACATGGTAGCAAATCATGTAGCATTATGTAATACATGGAAATTCTTCTATATGCATACCATTTGCAAAATATAATAATTCTCCATTCTGGCATATACTGTATGTATATCTATTATTCCTTAATATGATCTTTTTAACTCAGAATTGCTCCCTTGTCTACTTTTAGAAAATGAGATGTGCTGAATTTTTGAGAAGTGTTAAATTACAGAAGGAAATATTTTGTGGATTTGACAGCATTGCTAAGGGCTGCCTGAGCTATATTTAGCCATCTGCCTCATTAACAAATACACTCATTATTTTTGTTTGTATGTAGCAGACCTTTGTGTCACGACCCCAATACGTCTCTGGCTTTGCAGGCTTGTTTGTAATATTGAACTACACAACTGGGCATTTACTGGTTTAACCTCTGAACCTGTGGCATCGCCATTACACACCATGACATGTTGTGTTGTTTTCAGGTCAAATGACCTGAATACAAATATTACGTTTTATTTGTGTCCCTGCAATATATGCGTTGTTTTTTTATGTTTTGATTTTCATGTGCAATGCAGTTTTATTTTTAATTATTAACACCATAATTAATGTCTTAGTTTTTTGTTTTTCGTGTTTTTAATCTGTACAAAATGTGAAAGGAAGGCGTTTTAAAAATGAACGAGTTACTGGCTGCTTTCTACTCATTGTGTACAAAGAAATACATTTTTATTTGTTATACACCTGGTCTGGTTTGTATTTTTTTCAGATGATGGCATTTAATCTGTTTCTTTTTCTGTTTGCATTTAATATTTTTGGTGAATTTCTCAGGTTTTGCAGGTGATGCTCCTGTTGGTTCCTCAACATTTGTCTTCTCCATCTTAAATTCAGTAGCTTTCCTCTGTTTCATCATCTCCAGTCGTGTCCCTCAGTCTTTCTTCCCTTGATGCTCCACTGCTTGCATCTTTGTCTGGCTTTGCAGGAGATTCATGTATTTCATCTGTGATCTCATCCTGGCCGTCATTTTTCTTTGTAATGTCATTGGTCAGTAGAGTTTCAGTGGCCCCGCTATCTGTCTGTGATCTCTGTGTACTATCTCCCAGCACATTGATTTGGACTGAATACCTGTCTTTACCTACAGCCGCAGGTTTTTCTTCTGCTTCTTTCAGGTTCAGAAAGCTCTCGTCCTTTTTGTTCTCGCAGTTTTTCTTCTCATCCTGTCCTTCATCTTTATTACCTGCTTTGACACTGCAGCTCTCCTCTGATTTGTCACCGCAGCCAGATCTTGCCAGTTGTCCTTCATCGTTCCTTCCCAACATTTTACTCTCATCCGCCCATGTCACTCCTTTCTTCATCTTCATTCCTCTCTTGGTCTGCGCCTTCTTTTCCCACTTCTCCTGAGTGCTTGTCCAGTAGTTTTTGTTTTCATTGACACACTTCACTCTTATGTTCTCACCCATCTTCTTAATCTCCTGTTTGACGATGGGTTTGAATCTGGGATCCAGTTGCATGACCCTATTGAAATCCCTGTGGGCCTCGTCTTCGTTACATAATGCGGCGTGAGCTTGGGCCCGCTGGTACACAACTTTCATATTGTCTGTGGTGGAGATGAAAGTGAGAGAGTGAAGACCAGGTCTTGCCACATTGCATTGGCTTCCTGATAAATAATTAATTCAAAAGTAAACAACAGTTTCACTCTTTACATAGGGGGCTGGATGGAGATACCAGGGAATAACTCAATATATGGAGAATGATGCAATTGGTTCAACTTCCTGGATCCACTGACAAAGTGAAGCATTGAGATGTGGCCGCTAAAGGAAGAGTGTAGTAAATGCTAACTGACATAGCCCAAGGCTGTTTTTACTACAGGCAATAATGGAGCAATTGGCCGGCTCGGATTGGGTGGTGAAGAATCTATATCTGCTGCTGCTGCTTAACCTAAACAACATTTGTGTCTATATCATGGTGTATGCCTCTATGGTGTCTAATGCTGGGTACACACTAAAAGATTTTAAAAATCTTATAAGATCTTCAAAATGTGAGAGACCACAAACATGAGGGGAAAAAATCCTAGATTTAACCGTTTTGCTCCTTATAGTGTTTGGTGTTTTCAGGGTTCCCCCTACACATCAGGATTTCTGATCGTAAATATTCAACATGTTGAATATTTACGATTCGTGATCGGGGCGCCTCCGACGTTCTTCCGAGCAGATTCAGTCACTCTTAACACACCTCACACCACAGGAAAATCTGATAAGATAATCTTTAGAACCACCAAGATAATCGGGACATTACCTAGGATTGTCGGAAGGGGAGAAATCTGCCTAAAATCAGCCCGATTATCTTGTGGTGTGTACCCAGCATAACCCTGCTCCTGGAGGCAGCAGAGCTTAGCCTAACCTTAATTAAACACACCTGAACCAGCTAATCAAGGACTTTAGGATCACTAGAAACTTCCAGGCAGGTATATTGGAGCAAACGTGTACAGGACTGGAACGTAGACTTCCAGGAGTAGAATTGGACACTCCTGGTCAATGTCTATTTCTGCAGTAAATGAGTGTATAAGCTCACCTTTATGTTTCTTCAGCAGTTTAGAGTTGAGATCCACCACTTCTAGGTATTCCCCAAGCTCCAGCTTACACTGACTGAGGTTTAGACAGAGTGGCAGACGGACTTTCTCTAGAGATTCCCAGTCTTCTCCTTTATGTTCCACCTCAAAAACACACAGAGGGATGGATATGGCTTAGTGAGCGCTGGGTTGCTGATTCCCCATGGGAATTTTTTAAGCTTCCCTGTCGTTCCTGCTAAGCAGTTTTTGGATCCCATTGTACATCTCCTCTGGGATATGAGAAGGTATGAATTTACTATATTTTATATGTTCTGAGGAAAATGCGAGTGGTTGTGTGGTTGATAAGGTGTTTTGAATATGGATATTTTTGATATTGTAGTGTTTCGTGTGGGTGTTTAGTCCATGTCTCTATTATATTGTCTTTCATATGGTTCAGGTCACTCCATCAAATTCGAAAGTCTGATGAAAAGTGACCGTACACTTCTAAACAAGCCACATGATTTGAGACCATTCATGACAGTAACTCAGAATTAATACTTATAAGCAAGGGGTTGTTCAAATTCCCAGCCTTATGTTTACGCAGTAGTAACAGTGATGCTTGCCATTAGATGGTATCACTTGGCCATAAGAATGATCTAAAATGTGCAAACAAAATATAACCTTTTTCAGTTTGGCTCATGAATATTCTTCAGACAGTTTTACATTTGCCCAGTAGTTCTCAGATAAGTGGACACTAGCTGTTTTGGATTACCACTATCACTTGCGCTTTCAGTTTAATACTGAATTAAGAGGCGGCTTCATGGTTTTAAACTCCACTTTTTATGTAGCTGGCTACAATTTCAAATCACAGCTCCTGGTATATTATGATTTTTTTTTTTTTTTTCAAAAAATGGAGGGGCTTGTCCTCAGTGCCTTCTATAGCTATCAAGTATATAACAAACAAGGGATGCACTGATGATCTCTACAATCAATCCTATACTGTATTTTCATTCGGCAAGCTCACCTTAGTTTGGAGATGGTCTACATACTCCAGAGCCTCCTTGAACTTAGCAGTCGCCTCAGTGTATTTATGCTCTTTCACACTGAGATTGCCTTCGTCTTGGAGCAGCATAATTAGCCGTAGCATCTGCTGCCAGTCCTTGCCCTCGGTCAGAGCTGTTATCCTGTGATTGGCCTCGGCTGCCGACTCTTCACTTTTGGTGTCATGCTTGTTTTCCTCTGCTACAGATGGATTCTTTCCCTCCTCAGCATCTTTGACCTCTTCAGGGGACTGAGAATGTTCCCCTCTGCTTTCCTCTTTTGCATCCATCTCAGAGATGTCCTCCTTCTCTGGTTCCTTTTCTCTGTCTTCCAGGATCTTCCAGTACCTTTCTTTATCCTCCCAGTATTTTTCTTTCATTCTCTCAGAGAGAAGATTGAGTTCTCTTTGCACCAATCGAGACAGTGTGATGTCTAGGTTGGCCACCATCTGGAAGTCTCTCCTGGCCTCCCTCTCGCTCCACACAGCCACATAGGCCTTCGCTCGCTTGTAGTAGGCCTTCACACAGTCTGGAAAAGATCAATAATGGGACTGTAATTTAATTTTGCTTTCTGTTTCTTACTTACTGAGGCTGCATTATCTTTCTGAACGCTGTGTATGTGCATTCATATCCATTTATTATCTTAAAAAGTGCTGTATTTTGCTTTCATACCATTAAAAAAGGAACCTTGCTATACATACACTGTTGATTTAGCCCAAGTCGGACACCAAGTGCACACACCTAATCTTTGCTCTGAGTGGGCTCAATTTAAACAGACTTCCCCCAGCCAACGCCAGCCTCTGGCAAAAACAGCAGATTCTGTGAGCACATTTCAAAAGGATGTGCTCATCAGGTGACATACGAGAGAAATGTTAAAGAGAGCAAGGATGGAAGATTTTAACCAAAACAGACAACAAGGTGTAGTTGACACATGGGGCACGGCAGAATGAAATGAATAGCTAGAATTAGAGGGGATGGGGGAATGGGAGAAAGTGTCCTCAAAGTGGAACTGCAGGAGGCCGAAGTCACTCTGCCGGCTGCATATGCATAAGGCTCATTAGGAGAGCTACCCGCTCTGCCTCTGGAGCCACCGCGAGAGACGATACATCTGTCACTTCACATGCTTCAAGAGGGCTTACACAGACCAACTCCTGTCCCTACTCCTCATGCAGCCAGCCAAGCTTAAACAAACCAAAACCACCGAGGACGAAGATTACTATGCATGCTGCCAAGTGTAATTATGAATGTGAATGCAACTGGATTATTTATGATACTCAAAAAGCAAAGGGCTAATTCTCATGGTTGTCAGTAGCTAATGTTATAGGGAATAGGGTATGTTCATACCTCAACTTAAATGCAATGTAACTCTCACTAATTTGCACAGGTTGTCATTGTCTGTGGATCCAGTGACTTTTTAGGGGAGTTTGTTTAATTTCCTGTTAGTAATGCATTACAGAATTAAATGCATGGTTAAATTTATTTAATTTTATTTCATTAAAAAGAGTGATGCAGGAAGGAGTCCTAAAAACTGGAAACAACTTAGTCAGTGGGTATGCTTAAATGTCTGAAATAAGGTTTGTGGTTAACACAAGATGTTTTCATGTTTCGTTCTGAAAATTTATTCTATGATTTTTAAGCTTTTACATGTCTTGAAAAAAGCGGTTGCTAACAAGTGGCTAAATGGGACAGCAGAGGTTGTCAGGGACATTAAACGTAATCTACTCACTATCAGTTTTTACTGCCTTGTTGTATGTACTCATGGTCTTGCAAACAATTCTAACTCAAACTTTGCAACTTGTAGCTTTTAAATAAATTCTGAAAGCGTTTCCAGAAGCTTATTGTTGGTGTAGTTCTTTTATGGCCTAAGTTAAGATTTTTACTTATGGTAATTGCATTTGAGCTTCCAAATTCATAAAAATTGTGTTCATTTGTGAAGATTATCTTGATGAACATAACATGTAAAGACCCGTTCACACCAAGAATGACAACTATAAATGTAACTATATTAGCGCCAACACCAGCAGATGATATTGTCTGTTTATTCTAAGTGCATGCTCCTTTGCCGCTTTAAAGGAATATTTCACCCAAAAATGAAAATTCTCATTAATTACTCACCCTCATGTCGTTCCAAACCCGTAAGACCTTCGTTCATCTTCGGAACATAAATTAAGATATTTTTGATGAAATCCAAGAGCTTTTTTGACTCTCCATAGACAGCAAGGGTCCTAACACGTTCAAGGCCCAGAAAGGTACCAAGAACATCGACAAAATAGTCCATGTGACATCAGTGGTTCAACCGTAATTTTGTAAAGCTACGAGAATACTTTTTGTGTGCAAAAAAGGACTTTATTCAACAATTCCAAAGGTGTTACGGGTTTGGAACGACATGAGGGTGAGTAATTATTGACAGAACTTTCATTTTTTGGTGAACTATCCCTTTAAATTGTCGAACTTGTTACAGCAGGACTGATTCTGATTGGGTGTCAATGTTTTTTTTTTTTTTATTCATTAAGACTGAAAAAATTGTTCTGAAAAGTGATTCCAACAATATTGTTCCTCTGTTCATTTATCATTATAGCTGTGGTGTGGATTTTTAGAACTATATCTTTATCGTTATCTTTATAGTTATCGTTCTTGGTGTGAACATACCTTAAGAATCATGAAGTTTTATTGGTCATAGAGCTTATTTTCTGCAATAATCCAAAAGCTGGATTACTGGCTTTTTGTCAAGTGTGATGCTAATTTACAGGTTGGCCTACAAAAATGGAGCACAAAACCAGTCTTAAGTTGCTGGGGTATATTTGTAGCAATAGCCAACAATACACTGTATGGGTCAGAATGATTGATTTTTCTTTTATGCCAAAAATCATTGGGATATTTGGTAAAGACCCTACTGTAAATATATCAAAACTTAATTTTTGATTAGTAATATGCGTTGCTAAGAACTTCATTTGGACAACTTTAAAGGTGATTTTTCTCAATATTTAGATTTTTTTGCCACCTCAGATTCCAGATTTTCAAATAGTTGTATCTCGGCCAAATATTGTCCTATCCTAACAAACAATACAAAAAAACAATGGAAAGCTTATTTATTCAGCTTTCAGATGATGTATAAATCTCAATTTCGAAAAATTTACACTTATGACTGGTTTTGTGATCCAGAGTCACAAATATGGTTTCCCTGCAGCACTCTCCGTATAGGGCTACTTTTTAATGGCTGTCAATTGTAAACGACAGTGTAGTTACAGCATCTACCAGCAGGGGCGAACTGGGTCATGCTAACAAGCAAAACCTCAACCATTTGGTTTATGCTAATAAGATGGCCTACCTTTGTGTTTGTCCAGGAGCTCTGTTGTATGTTCTATGACTTCGTAATATTCCTCCAGCTCTAACATGCACTGGCAGTAGTTGAGTACAAGAGGAATGATAAACCTGTCCAGATTAATGTAGTCTTCATCTCCAGGCATCTCCTACAGAGGAAGGAAAACAAACTCAGGTGCACTCATCGATGTCTGAATGTTTCTTATTAGTTTCTTCACAGCCCCCTAATAACCTCCATGTCATTTTGTTTTTCCTTTACCCTGGATTGGACTGTCCGCAGCAGAACCACAGCCTCCTGGTACTTTTCTGCAGCTTCATGGAACCGACCCTGCTTGACCAGAGCGTTGCCCAAAAGATGTAGCGAGGGCACGACCTTTAGCTTCTCATCCTTCTCCATCATCCAAGACTCCCGCTGGTAAGAGAACGGGTCGCCCACCTGAGGTAGACAGAGAATTGGAGCGTGCTTGTCTCGCTTGGTTGAGGATTGAAAACATGGTCTGAGAATTGGGAACAACATTTCTTTCCTGGCGTGTAGCACTTGATTGTGTAACATTGTTACGCTCTGTTTGGGTTGCAGTGAGAAATCTGTTGGAGGTGGAGGAGTTGAACTAGAATGAGTGTATGAGAGTGTTGTTGTGCAAGGGTGCGTGCATGTATTTGCTTGTTTTCTTGCACTGTGTGAATACACCTGACCCACCGAGATTAGTTCCATGATGAAGATTAGAGGCTGAGGTGTCCTCATTAGCTCATCAAGCTCTGGAAAGCCTGTCGAATGGTAGTGAAACAAGTTTCCCATGCCACACGTGTGTCTTTGGCCCTCTAGAGGGTCCTTTCCCTGAGCAGCCAGTCGCATCCCTTTTGACACCATGGGATAAAGACCTGTGTGCTGCATAAAAAAAATAACATCACATGCCAGTGTTTCCTCCAGAATTACCTAAGATTTATTTGCTTGTTTTTGCTTGTAGACTCTAGGAGAACCCGAAATATATGTTCTTTTTGCCTTTATTTTGTGGTACATATTGTTTTAACTGCACCACGTTCAATATATGTGGCAAACTCACAATTTCTTGATTTCTTTTGCCGTGGTGCTTGATGCAGTAGTGGGGAGCAACTTATTTCTACATCAACCATCTAACCAGAATCTTTAGTCTCATTTGACTTGCAGAATGGATTATTGATTTCCTTGTATTTTTTTTTTTTTTGTATTTGAGTATTTAGAGAAAACGGCAAATGTGAATGTTTATAGAAAATGTAGGAAGCAACCAAAGGTGAATAATACATCAGACACATTCTCCTCCATTCTTATGTGAGGATTAATTAAGATCCAATTGAAGCGGATGTGATTATACCTAAAGGGAAAAACAGTGGGAGGCACAACAAGAGGTTTAGTTTGATTTCAAAGACTTACAATAGCATCACACCAAAACTCCGCCACCTCTCCAATCCTCATGGAGGTTAACAGCACCTCCCACACCTCCATTTTGAACATCTTCCCCACGAAAATCTCTGTGGGACGCTTATTTTTGCGACTGTCGTCAATCACTGTTCTTTCAAAGTTGTCCAACAGAGTCTGAAAGTGGAACACCAGCTTTGTGGGTAGGAAGGCAGAGGAAAAAAGAGAATAAGAACAGGATTAAGAAAGAACTGAGATATTTTTTCTGCTTAGTACACCATGCACATCTTGTAACTTGCTACTCTGTATGGGTTTATATGTGGTTGGGAGAGAAATGCAGGGTTTTTAAGCAGGCCAGAATGTATTTCTCCTCATGCCATCCCAATACCTTCATGGTCCAATTTTATCTTCATTATAAGACATTTAAATGTGTTATTTTTGTTTTTTAAAGCATGTTGAAACGGATACCTTGATGGAATAGAACACAGAGTGAATACAGAGCACAGCTGGTAAATGGAGAGATTAATGTTGGCATTGTTGTAGAAAATGTGTGTCATCCTCTCCTGGCTGAGGGCCCATGTGGCTGGACAAGTAGGGGGGGAAAAAGTCACCTGGCAGATACGCCGCTGTCCAAAACGATAGGATGCCAAACTTCTGTGCAATTATATGCACCAAACCTTTTTATCATCAGTAGAATCAAACTACAACCATTTCTAATCAAAGCAAATGGTTAGACAAGAACCCATCCAAACGTCCACTCAAAAGCGCTATCCAGGACCATATATACACCTTACCTTGGTTCCCTTCGGAAAATGCGGCAATGGTCCTTGACCTCCATGCAGAATCTTCTTTTTTACTCCAGGATGGCCAAGCAAATACGCCTCCTGCATTTTAAACTCTTTAGAAGAGTGTTTCTTTTTTAAAACAGACCTGATGTCCTGTAGCCTGTGAGCGCTGGTCCTTGGCAGTGTTAATTAGCAAGCTGAGGAAGGGAGACAAATCACACCCTGCAGCCCAATGCTGCCTGACTGCTTTCTGACAGATGGCTGGATTACCAGGTTGAGGATAGCCACTTTAATCTGCCTTGGCTAATCCTTCAACCCCCTGAATCTTCAGTATAATCCCCTGTAAGAAGTGAAGGGATGGGTGACCAGAGAGCGGAACTCAAGAGTATGTCGAGATCATTCTGGAAGGCAATAGAGTTCAGTAATCCCAGAAAGAGTTTGCTAGTATAATTTAGTGGGATCTACTGCAGACAGAATCATCTAGAAGTCTCTAGTATGATTTTCCAGTTGGTCCTTGGCAGTGTTAATTAGCAAGCTGAGGAAGGGAGACAAATCACACCCTGCAGCCCAATGCTGCCTGACTGCTTTCTGACAGATGGCTGGATTACCAGGTTGAGGATAGCCACTTTAATCTGCCTTGGCTAATCCTTCAACCCCCTGAATCTTCAGTATAATCCCCTGTAAGAAGTGAAGGGATGGGTGACCAGAGAGCGGAACTCAAGAGTATGGAGACAGTCGAGATCATTCTGGAAGGCAATAGAGTTCAGTAATCCCAGAAAGAGTTTGCTAGTATAATTTAGTGGGATCTACTGCAGACAGAATCATCTAGAAGTCTCTAGTATGATTTTCCAGTTTGTTGACCACCATAATGGGAGTAGCTTCCAAATTTGCAGACTTACTGAGCAGAAGAAATATGCTAACAAAACCATTTCAAATATGATTTTATTAAAAAAAACTGCCGTTAACTAAAGGTTTATAGACACAAAGTCACAAAAAGTACAAATACACAATCTTGCATGAGATGAAACTTGTGTGATGAGCACAAGTATGTTGACACTTTTTTTTGTTCAATGGGATGTTCAAATTTAGCTAATACATGCAGTAAAGTCGGTAATGTGTTCAGCAGTCGCCTCTGCAGTATTGCAGTATCTTGGTAATCGTGGGCATCACTTCTCGATCAGCGAGTCCAGCTGCTCTTGAAGGGAGGCCAGCTGTTGGAACAGAATAGCAGTGATGGATGGCTAGCAGTAGGGGTATGATTGAAGGCTAAGTGCAATATGTTCAACAACACCTCCAACGTTGTTACTTTTTTCCATCAAGCCATTTGTCAGTTTAGGCGTAAACAAACACTGACCGCAGAAACTGACATTGGCCAAGGGTTATGGTGAATCAGTAAAGCATGTATGTGTGTCTAGTTCTTTTACTCCCCAATATTATATACAGAAAACTACTCTCACCAAGAGCAATGGGAATATGTGGAATTAAGTCATGGATTTGACATCTTACATGCATTAGGGAAATTAATAATAATTAGATTCCAATTAAAAAGCTCTCAATTCTATTTGATTTGATTACAATTCATCTGGGCATATTTTTACGTTGTAATATAGATTTTATCATACATATAAAATAGATCACTCTCAGCTATTGCTTTAAATTAAACTGGGAATAGATGCGTATATATGATAATCATGCCTTTTTTTTAGTAATTAACTAAAGGACAGACTCAAAAGAGTCATTTGTTTGTGAATTTGACTATGCTAGTTGTGCTGCATGTTTCTGATTCCCCAAAAAGAACCAGTTCATATGAATCATTTGTTCAGGAATCTGACTACACTGGTTGCACTGTACGTTTTTACTAAAAGGTCCAATTTATAAGAGTTATTTGTTTGTGAATCAAAATACACTGGTCAAAATGGCATGGAGTAAAAGGTCTTGGGAATTTAAAGAATGAATATTGAGATTTTTCAAATCATGATTAATTGGAAAAATATTTTTACCCAGTCCAAATGTATGCAGACTTTTGGGTTTGTATGCACTCACCTGTTCCATCTCTTGCTCTTCTTGATGAATCATACCATTCAAAAGACCCAGGAAACGATCCTGTAATATGGAAAGAAGAGAGACCGAGAGAAAGAGACTTTATCTAGCTGACGGTAAGCTGTTTTGATGCTGGCCGTTTGTGAATGTCTTAACTGCTCGTACACACATGTATTTGATTTGTGACCCTGTGAATGGACCTCAGACATGTATGACCTTTCCTTGTCCCCTGTGACTGCAATAACCGTGGACAAATTTAGCCAGCATAGTGCACACAGGCCAACCGAAGTGACACTGTTAAACCACACGTCCAACCCCATTCCACAGTGTCTAAATCCTCCCAATGGAGCAGCTGCCAGAGCAATGAATTTTATGCTTTTTGTGAGCTATGTAACAGCAGCTAAAGGCAGAAATGTAATATTTATGCCTTAAAAAGACAGAAAAAAACTTGCCTTCTTAGGTTTATTCAAGGCCATTTAAAGGGCTGTACTGCACAAAAACAGTGTCACCAAGGCTGTGTTTACATGATGTACCGTGCCAGAAAAAGTAGCATGCTACATATTTAGTGCAGGTAAATGAAACTCACCCTCAGGGCTTGATTTTCCACCTCCATTATCAATTTCTCCTGTTCCTTCTTGCGGTTACGTGTGTCCTGAAGCTTGGCCTTCAAATTGTTGATCTGCACCTGATACTCCATTACTGCAGATCAAATAAGAGATTGTGAGCCCTAGTTAACACGCGTACAAGTTTAGTCATAGACCCTGGATGTCAATTTGAGCTCTCGTTTACCTTCGAGAGCTAGTTAATCTGCAAATGCTCATGTAATCAAAGGTCCCAATTATCTGTGAATCCTTCACACTCTAACTGTGCAACCCTTCAGGCTGCATAAATACTGAACACCACCTCTTACGTTCTGCACTCTCAGAGACAGAGAATTCTAAATACCTATTTCCATTGAGGGCATACACACCAAGATATCAAGAAAATGCCTTGTGAATTGTGGATGATATATAAAAAAATGAATGACATGGAATTTGAACATGCAGTACTTGACTTCCAATATAAGATACATACCAGTTATAATAGATGTGGTATTATTTGTCAAGAGAATATGACTTTTTTTCAAATCTAATTAAGCGAGCTACCTAGACAGCATTTTAGGTATTGTTGGCACATTTCGAATGCGTCTATAAATCAGAGTTAACATTTACACACAGTTTTTGTCTTTTAAGGACAATACCACTTTAAATTGGATTGAATTGGCATCTTATTACAATCTATTGGAATAGAATTTTAGTTGACTAGAAAATGCAATATTAACCTTCCATATGGAAACAACAACACTCTTGAAAAGACATCTAACTTAAAGGGATAGTTCACCCAAAAATTAAAATTCTGTCATTAATTACTCCACCTCATGTCGTTCCACAAACACAAATGAAGATATTTTTGATGAATTCCGAGAGCCCTCTGGCCCTCCCATAGACAGCAAGGATCCTAACAAGATCAAGGTCCAGAAACGTAGTAAGGACATCGTTAAAATAATCCATGTGACATCAGTGGTGCAACCGCGATTTTACAAAGCTACGAGAATACATTTTGTGTGCAAAGAAAACAAAAATAACGACTTTATTCAACAATTCGTCTCCTCCGCATCACCCTGGCGCCATTTTGGAGAGTATCACATACGTAAACAACATATGCAACGTACTGTATGTATGCGTAATACTCTCAAAATGGCGCCACGGTGACACGGAGGAGACGAATTGTTGAATAAAGTCGTTATTTTTGTTTTCTTTGCGGACAAAAAGTATTCTCTTAGCTTCGTAAAATTATGGTTGAACCACTGATGTCACGTTGATTATTTTAACGATGTCCTTTACTATGTTTCTGGACATTGATCGTGTTAGGATCCTTGCTGTCTATAGGAGGGTCAGAGAGCTCTCGGAATTCAGCAAAAATATCTTAATTTGTGTTCCGAAGATGAACAAAGGTCTTACAGGTTTAGAACGACATGAGGGTGAGTAATTAATGACAGAATTTTCATTTTTGGGTGAACTATCACTTTAAGAAGGTAACTCTATAGCTAAACCTTTTGCTTTGAAGAATAGGCTATGTGAACAAAACACATGGTGGTACAGCTCTGAGCAGCATGGCTCATTTTTTCCCGGTTAACTGCCAATGTGACGTTGAAGGCACGCTGCCAGTTGAGAGACAGAGGGTTGCGGGATGATGCCAAGGTCAGGCATGTCTGTATGGGTAAAGACACCATCAGACAACCGGTACACCCATCTGACCTAAATATCGCAGCAGGCTCATCATTCAAATGCTAATCTAGGTCGGCTGTTGTTTGTCTGCCGGTCTGCCTTCCTGTGAAAAATTGGGCTTGAGCTGCTGTCCTGATGACGCACTATAACTGATCAGACAACCCGTGCACCACCATCCTACCGATCTGACTGTTGCGGTCATTCTCGTCTCTGCTTCCGTCTGTCTCGTTCAGTTTCTCGTGGAGCTGCCTGACCATGTAGTCTTCAGTGTCCATGATGTTAAGGTCGTCATCCTCGTGTCGGTCACCCTCCTCGTCCTCATCCTCGCTGCTGCTACTGATGTCGTTGAAGATCTCGCGTAGCTCGTCATGTTGGACTAAATTAGAAGAAAACTTTACACAGGGAAAGATATAGCTATAAAAGGCAGTCAGACTTGTGAGATCATTCACCTGACGAGCCGTGATCCTTGTGTCCCGAGGTTCCAGGTGAAGACTCCAAGTTGGAGAGAGATAAGCTGTTGTCAGGTTCTTTGGCCTCATCCTCAGCAATCACCTCCCATCCTCACCACAGGGTCAAGGTTCATATATCAATAATCCCTTTTCATCCTCTGAGTTTTGACACTAGGCCATTTTGCTGTTTGTTATATCACTGTGCTGCTGAGCTCCACAAATTTATACGTGACTCATGCCACTTTTTCCTGTAATGCTGAGCTTAACCGACTCTATTTCTTGCAAAGTTGCTCCATTTCATTTGTGAGCAAGTCTGCCACCTGGTGGCAAGGCTGAGTATGACAGAAATGTTCAATTCTACATTAGTAATGACATTTGCATCTAGATTTCTTGTGGTACTGGGATTGCGGCAACATGACAGGGGAAAACAAAAGCAAGAAATAAAGGATACGAACACTGACGGCTTCGGCGTCTGTGCTCAAGAGTCTCTTCACCTCCTTTTCCACATCAGGAGACCCGATGTACTGCAGGATAAATCAGGTTAGAATTCAGCCCCAAGGAACACGTTCTCAAAAACTGCATGCACGCATTCAGACGCACACATAGTACTAACAGTAGAGGCTGGCTACACGCCAGAGAACACATTAGCGATTAAAAAAGGAAGCAGAGTCAATAGCTAGCTGCAACGTAGCTGAGATTTACAATATGATACCCAAAAAATGTACAAATAATCATTATAGCGCATTCATCAGGAATGAATAAATAAAAACCATATCTTTATTTATTGTCCCATATGGTCTAGCGGTTAGGATTCCTGGTTTTCACCCAGGCGGCCCGGGTTCAACTCCCGGTATGGAAAGTACAGTTTTTTAGCTTTATATGTGTGAATTACAAGAAATTTCTGTTAGACAATTAAATGTACTATATTGTGTTAATAAACAATGTCACACTATTTATGTACAAAGAACATTATGAGCAGGTAGGGTGTTGGAGAGGAAATAAGACTGCTAGGCTCTGGTTCTAACTATCAGCAGTATACACTCCTGGTGTGTCGGTCAGGACACAAAGAATGAGGAGACTGGAGCTTCTTTCCAAAGTGTATTGAATATTAGCACGCCAGAGAACACATTAGCGATTAAAAAAGGAAGCAGAGTCAATAGCTAGCTGCAACGTAGCTGAGATTTATTCAAGAGTCAGAGAGAAAAACCTGCCACTAACTCGGCTGCCGTCACTTCAATCAAAGGAAGAGCCAGATTGCTTTCCTGCATACCTTGGTGGTAAATGAAGATGGAATGCTTTATTTATATGTAAATCGTAGCTTTTAGCATTAACTCATTTTCCTGCAAGAGTAAACATTTTTTTTCCCCCAACTAGGGATGATAAAGGATTGTAGAATCATCCGAAAAATCCAAGGAAAAAAACAACAACAGAGTGCTTGAAGAAAACCAAATGAGGTTACCTTCTTCTTTGCTGTCTTCCTGAACCGCCTCTTCCTTGTGTTCTTCAGAGGAAGCGTAACTGGAAGGAGACAGATGTAATTTAATATAAAATGGGTTTAATCATTCTAGCACTGATAGGCTGTCTCTCCAAACATTCACTCCAAACCAATTACGGGGAAATTTCAGTATAGGAGTGGGAGGTACTTACTGCCATGGTTCCAAACAAATTTCTTGTCTTTGTCCTTGTCTTTCTTTTTGCTTTTGGGGTCTGTAGTGCCTGTGGGCTCCTCCTAGAGGGGGGTACAGGTCTCCATCCAGTGTGCATACCATCATCTTAAACAGGAAGGCAGCGGAATTAAGTGTTATGGCCTTGTAGATGTGCTGAAGCTCATTAAATGACTTGTCTCTGTTACCCAAGACTGCAAACGGGAAATTTAATTTAAGACTCTCTAAGAAACTTCTATCAACAGCTTCTATTAAAGTCTTACCTGACCGATATCAGCAGTCTTATAGAAGGTCTTTTTGTCAACCGTTTTTAATGACTCCAGGATATGCAGGGTAAATCCACTAATTTACATGCTAAAGGGACACGATCCACACGTACAATCCCATGGCGACCATCGGCTAGGAATATGGTAACAAATTCCATGAGGAATATTTTTACACAAGAAATTGACAACATTCAGAGGCTTTTTAAAATGTAATGTGCTGACGTAAATGGAAAGTACTTCTTTGTTCAATGTAGTTCATCTGAATTTTTCACTTGCACAGTACATACCATGTAACTCTGGAGGCATACTCCTAACTTAACTTTTATAAAGAATATCTCTTTGGATTTGAGACTTTAGTCTTTGCAACTTTACAGATCTTCTTTATGCACCAAGAGCTTGTAACACCCCAAAGAGAAAGGAAAAATTTAAATCGCATCATATGACCCCTTTACATCAATGTATTGTATCCTTGCAGAATAAAGGTTTCAATTTCTTTAAAAAAATAATTAAATAAATAATCTTACTGACCCCAAACATTTAAAGAGTAGTGTATTTACCAAGCGGCAACCTCCCGTTCTCTCTCGTGAAGCCGACACGGAAGTGACTTAAACTGCAATTCATCAACTGGCCGCTAGAGGCTGGCTGCAAAAGGGAGTCAATCCCATAGACTCCCCATGTTAAAATGCCCACCTTCACAGCAGAAAAAAACATGTTTACAGCCTCGTTCAAAAAATTATTTTGGTCTATATAGCTAATTTAGCCCCAACTGCCCGCTCCGCCCACTTTGAGCTTCAAAACCGCTCTTCGGAAATCTACGGGTGACGTCACGGACACTACGTCCATGTTTTTATACAGTCTATGGTATTTACCCTGACATCTTGTTATTACAAATGTAACATTTTGTCTGGGTCTGTTTTCTGACATAAAATGACATTCATTACATACAGTATGATGTAGATTCACTTCTTGATGTACCTTTCATACTGTCCTGTGTTCCAGTGTATCCCACACTTGTCTTATTTAATTATAACTGCCCCTTGCAGAATTGTGTTCCTTCATGTATGGATTAACAACATTTATCTCGACTGGAACAATGAACAATGTATATCGATGACAATATATTTGTATGCAATTTAGGGCTGCAAAACGATTAATCACGTTCAAAATAAAAGTTTGTTTACATACTATATGTGTGTGTGTACTGTGTATATTTATTATGTATATATAAATGCACACACATTTATATATTAAGGAAAAATGTTACATTGATCTTTTAAGTGTGACAAATATGCAAACAATTAAAAAAACAGGAAGGGGGCAAAAACTTTTTCACACCACTGTATATGTGTGTGTATTTATATATACATAATATACCCTGTACACACAAAGTATGTAAACAAACGTTTATTTTGAATGTGATTAATCGTTTTGCAGCCCTAATGTAATTATTTACAACTTGTGTAATAACATTAAGTTACGTGTCTTGTTACTCTTATATAAATGATTGGTAACACTTTATTTTAAGATGTCCTTGTTACACGTTATATGTACTTACTATTATAATAACACATAATTATGCATAATTACATGCAAGTAACCATAAGCCAAACCTTAATCCATATAGTAAGTACATGTAGTTACTTAATATTACTCAGTACTTAAATGTATAATTACACTGTAACAAGGACACCTTAAAATAAAGTGTAACCGAATAATTATGAGTCAAACAACAATGATCTAAAGATATCAATTATTTAAATGCACTTGATGGAATTGTTTTGGGCATGTGTACCTTACTTAAATACTGTTTACAGACTTTGCACTAATATAGGTCAGTAAAATAAAAAAAAATAAAAAAAATACTGACCTGAGGGAGCCGCAGAACAAACTGACTCTCCAGCTCATGAGGAGCATCTTCTTTGCTTTTGGAGCCCACCTTTCCCACTGAAACAGAGAAAAGTCTTGAAATACTACATATTTATTTACATTTATTACACACACACACACACACACACACAAATGTGTGGCTATTAAATGTTAATACCTTATACCAAGGTAGGCACTAAATGATAACCACGATCTTGAATCTCAGAATATCATGTGAATATCATGGTATATCATGATTGACACATCGCAACACTTGTTTAAAACACAGTTAGGCTACACCTGTTTTTTGTTACTAGAAGAGAAACCGAGTTAATTCACTAATGTATGCATGCTAGTACCTTTCGTTTTTGAGGTCATCTTTGGTTCCTAATTCTGCACAAAAATAGAAAAAGAGACGCTGTTTGCATATAAAAGCAAAATGTGTGAAAACTATGATGGCTGTTTAAAGAAAACGGTTAACGCGTTTTAGGAATAACACTTCTTTTAGAGTGATAAAATACTAAAAAGTGCATTACAATAAAAGCGTGTTAATAAGAAAACTAAGAAGCTAACAGGCTAACGTTACACAGAGTGGGTATCTGATATACAACATCGTCAGATAGGATAATTGTTAAATATTCGTTTCTTTAAAATACACAGAGAATAAAATGGTTGTAATAGAAAAGTGATCATGAATTATACACTGCGTAAATACACAGATTTTGAGAGACAGAAACTAAAATGGTACAAATAAATATTGCTGTGCCTCGGCGAACTGTCTCGCGGAAGCTCAGCGTACGTTAGCGCTTCACTGCCACCTGCTGTCCATTGTGTGAAAAGAAGCTGAGCATCGAAACCTACTAATACTAGAACATGAAAGCCTAAGTCGATTAACACAATTTCAGAGAATGTAGCGACTGGGCAATTGTTTCGGTGAACACTTATGTGACCATAAGAAGAACAATATGATACCCAAAAAATGTACAAATAATCATTATAGCGCATTCATCAGGAATGAATAAATAAAAACCATATCTTTATTTATTGTCCCATATGGTCTAGCGGTAGAAAACTTGTACAATAATGCCTCCTACTGGATGCACCTGGAAATGCGCTCAACAAACTATCAAATAGGAGTCCCTCAATAAAAAAACTTCCTTTCTCCAGGAGCCTTTTATACATAGGGCATAGTTACAAATAAGGTCAGTAAAATACAATAATGAATTATAGAAAGTTAACAGATAAATAAATTTAGACTTTTTTACTGACATTCATGGGAAATTCGTTAAATATTACTTCCTTCTAGATGTGTGACTCATTGTGTAAGAAACCCAAAGATGTTCAAGGAACATAATGGTTAAAAGGAGAGACGATGTGATTACTATGTGCTTTTTTTAGAAAGAAAGTAAGAAAGAAAGTTATTTATAAGAAAGTAAGTTTATTGTTCTGTGTTTTTATTTCAACATGTCTCTACATTAGGTTTTAGGTCCTAAAATATGTAGTGTTCAAGTAGTTTATGGGAAAAATGTACTTTTTAATTTATTAAATTGTTGAAAATTAAATGAGAAAATAATACCGTTAAAAGTCTGAGAACAATTTATCAAATTTTGTATAAATAAGTAAATCCCCTGACCACAAATAACACTCCTACCCTTGAATTCCCCAAACAGGCTATTCCGATAATGGGCGGGGCAGACGGTGTGATTAAGGGGTCGTCTGAATTTTTTTTAATCACAAACTAACGGTCAGTATAATTAAGGGGCTGTCTGAATTTATTTGATGTAACAAATTAACGCTCACTCACCTGCAGGACAAGGACACTACTATGCAGGCGACATGGTATGATCGCCTTATAACAAAAGAGATGTTTTTTACTGCCATTATTATGTTAAACAAAATGATTTGTATATCCGATAATGTATGTGTAATGAGGTTGAGGATTAAATGAATTAATAATGAATAAGCAATGTGCTGTTATAGAACTGGAGATGTCTCTCAAAGTTAGTGCTATATTCACATGAAAATGAGCCAAAACTGTAAACGCTGCTCACATAAACAAAGTCTTATGATTCGTCGAGTAGGTGCCGACGTCATCCATCCCATCTACAACCCCGAAAGACGCGTCACTTCACTGACTACATGGGAGCGTTTAGTTTGACGCTTCGCTCGCTTTGCACAGTAGACGCCGAACCCTGGACCAATCGCTTTCGAGGGAAAATGTGAGCGCAAGGAATTCCCCACGCAGTGAAAACAGTATAACCTTATGTTAGGCAAGAGAAAGCGGCGAAGCTCGATTAGAGCTTCAAAAACAATGAGCTTTTAGAAGATTTTGTCTTTGCAAAAGAGGATAAAGTTACTTCGGTTTAACAGGACTGAAGCGGGAAGGAGGATTCAGATGATGACAGATTGCTCAGGAATTGTTTCATTGAAATGATCGGAGTGTGTCCATCACTTTCCCCACGCTAACATTTAAACCTGTAAAATTATGGCACGTTAAGATGAAGGTAAGTGTTTGTAAAGTTTGCATTGTCTTGCAAGTTGAAGTTTCTTTGTGTCAGTGACTGCATGTACAATGCATTGAATGTACAAGCACTGTTTATTTTATTCAGGTATACATGGAGTCTTTTGGATTTGCTGACATTCCATAAACCAACATATGTTGTCATAATTCTGATCTCATATGACTGTTCTGATCTGAATAGCCCCCAGGATAGCTTGACCAACTGCTCTGTTGTGCCCCTCTCCCATAACTGTGCACTGAGTTCCAGCATGACTGCGGGCATGTGACTATAATGACTGGTTCAGTGTGAGAATCTCTTGTTTTAGGCAGACATTGCTGGTCAAGACACAGTAAGGGCTTCACATGAGTGTGAACAATCAGTTATCCAGTCCTCAGTGCTGGCTTGTGGTGCATCAGTGTTTTCATTCACACCAGGACATATTTGTGGATGTTTATCTTTAAAACGGGTTTGTCTTTGTGTCATTTTCACTACTTGTAACCAAGTTCAGATATTAGCCAAGGCTTGGAGTAAAAATGCCACAAGAGAGAATAAAAGGCCATTGATGTGTGGGCAAAAGTGCTTTTTTATCCGTTATCTGATATTACATAGTAACCCGGCAGTTATGTAAAACATGCTAGCAGATCATTTTTTGTGTTGCCATATCTAGTGAATTATTTACAGATTTTGGTGTAACAGACATCATTTACATTATTTATTTATTTATTTGTAGTAAAACTAAGGAATAAGGTTAAAGTGACTTGAACATCCACAACAAATCGCCTATTTCAGACTTTGCTTCTTATGATATGTAGCAATTAGTGTTTAATTTCATATTGTAACAGAGTATTAAATCCATCTGCTGGTGCATGATGTTTTCTTAATTTGTTTTCTTTATTTGTGGCTTGATGTCTCACCCATTGTCTAACTGTCTAAATGTTTGCCAGATGTTTACATTTTTTGGGATACAAAGCTCCCCTGTGAGACATGTATATTGAAGTATCTGTTTGGCTGCAGTGTTCTCAGCATTCTGGCCATTGGGAGTTGCTGGGGTCAGGGAGTATACTTGTGTTCTCCTGCTTTGGGAGTTTGTGATATTAGTCAGCTCGTTTCATCCAAAAATGTTGTCAGCTGGTTCTGATACCCCCTCCCAGACCTCGCACACCCCAGAGGCCTTTAGAAAGCTGGAAATTCCAGTCTTCTGAAACTAATTATCCTCAATGAGAGGCTCTAAATATACCCTTTAGTTGGTGCTGTTTTGAGTCTTTTCTTTCAGAAATACAGTCCTTGGTTCTTCCCCTATTTCTTGTTATGACTTTGTGTCTCAGAACTCATGCCCAATGACCCTATTGTGCCTTTGAACTGGATTGCCAGAAGGCACAAAGGGGCTCTCAGATGCTCTTTCTGCCTCTTTTAGCAGATGAGGCACGTGGCTTGAGATATCCTAGAATGACAATGAGAGGTATGTGGGAAGCCTCTGTGTAGGGAACATCCCCAGTGTTTACTTTGCTGTAGAATATGTGGCCATGACGGTGACTCCCATGTGAATCCAAGCGAAGCCAAGTCAAGGAGAGTTATCCTAGGGCAGATTCATCCAGCTCATTCCACTCTGCTCTTGGCCCGATGGTGTACAGAAAATCACATGAGATATGACTTAATGGGCTGGCTATTGATTTGTCTCCACATTTGAAGACATCAGTCTTTATAAACTCGGTATCCAGGAACTGCATCACCAGGGCATCATCAGCTGAGAGCTTGCTGCAACATGAGCCGACTCCTTGCAGACAGACTACAAGCATCAGCAAAGATAGCTGGAGTGTGCTAGGACAGTGTGCATAATATGACGCCTCATTTTTCTTTGTGTAAGCCTTCACCATTCATTGTCATACGGCTCACAGCATGTGCAGAAAATGGATTGAGTAATTGTCTGTTGGGTAATTCCTCAAAATATATCCTCATAAATCTCTTAAATATGGATTTCAGTTTTAGAATGCTGACAAGAACATACCAGATGATATGTCTCTGTCATATAATGGCTCTCTCAATATAATTAAGTCAATAGGCTTCCACAAGGTGGTGGTGTTCATATATTAAGCTCAACAATAAAGATGGCTTGGAACCATCTTAACCAATTTATAGAACTGTCATTTGGCCTTTTGGACGTCATGCCACTGAAATTGATTAATTGATGCTGGACATTCTTTTTTTTATTCCATCCTTTTAAACGTTTTGGTTTTCTGGGATGTGTTCTTTATTGTTGTTGCAAATTCTACTGGCTTGTCACCAAGATAATGTTACCAAGCTTGCTAACATAAACAGTTAGCAAGCAACAACAGTTACGTTTTGAAGTAATCGGTAAAAAATGTGTTGAAAACTGCAAACGAATCAGCTAGTTTACGAATTTATGGAGTTAAATTATATGTATAATGTATATCCTGCATGTTGAAATTTTTTTGTAAAGAAAAAAACAGTGAATTTGTCATATAAACCCTCTGTTTCTCATTCATTTTTGTTTGTATGTACGGATTTAATTTAGATTTAGATTATATTTAGTATTTTGCCTCCAAAATGTTTGTACTTAGCGGCAAGAAACCTGATTCGCTGTCAAGGCAACCAGTATTGAGAACGCCCACTAACAAAAGTCGCTGCTAGTGTGAACGGGGCTTTATAATCCTCATTTAATGAAAAATATAAATATTTCTAGCAAGTATAAAAATACTTTAAGATAATAAGAATCAATCATGCAGAGAAAAAAAATCATTGTTGTTGAGCCATGATATGTTCTATAGACACAAAACAGGATTTTCATATTAGTCATTAGTTTAACTGTTTGTAATATTACAAACTAAGGCAGTGCTCTGTACTCTGTTGTAAATTTTAAGTTATGTCTTTCAATTGCATTTTATTGTTAAAATAAAAAGAAGGAACTGCTACTACTGTATATGGGAAGGTGCACCATATTAGTTTAATGGAATATAACTTCTGTTACGACATTTTTAAAGTTATGGGCCTTTTGCATTGTTCCTCATATAAATTACTGTTGAGAAATAGTTATTGGTGAAGTAAGAGGGGGAGACAGGTGATTCTCACACATTGTTAGGTTTCCATAATCAGACAAGTCATTTTTATTCGAAGCCTGTTCCTGACGCATTTCCTTACTGTTATAGCAAAGCGTGTAATTCAGAAAGGTATCTTATCCTCTGTTTGCGTTCAAATTAGATTAATATTTAGGTTAGTGTAATGTTATGCTGCTGTAACCTTGCTGTTCAGATGGCAGCCACATATGTGGGAGTCTTATTAAGAAGGCATTATAGAGATACAAGGCCGACTGCCTTTGTTTTGACTGAAGAAAGACAAATATGGAAAGCTTGGGTATTTTTTAGCAAGCGCATCTTATGGCTGATGTTGGTAAGAGGTGGAAAGTTTGCTCCCGTTTATTACATTGACTGAACTTTCAATATAATTAGAGAGCGTTTTATACAGTGGCTTTGAATTAGATTTTACAATTCATGGTTTCAGGTCCCTT